TCGACCCTCTTTATTTTCGCGTTTTTTTTTATTGGTGGTTACAACGCCTTTAGGTTGTCCGATAACCGGGCTAACCTAGGGGCGAGGTTTTCGAAAGTATCCCTGGGTTGTCCGATAACCGGGCTAACCCAAGGACTTATTTAATTTGGGTTCTATGGAGTCGCCACCGATATTTTTACCATAAACATTGGAAAAGGGGTTTTAAAAAGGCGTTGGTTTTCGAAAACCAACTTTGGTCATTAGAACCAGAGTTGGGTAAGAGAGTTAGTTACGTGTAAAGGAAGTGTTAGTTCCTTTACGACGCCCCTTTCGGGTTCCCTATGATAGGTCGGCTACTTTGAATAAATAATTAAACTGGAAAAATGCGCTTTTACCCTTTTATTATGCGAAATTTAAGTTTATGACTACATGGCCCTAGCTTCTATTGCGTAATTTAAATGGCAGTAATAAAAATAGAGAGGGAGAATATACACCTCCAAAGCAAGCTTTTGTATTTCTTTAAAGAGAGGGTGCGTTTTGGCAACCCTTCACTCTACAACTCTCAGAAACTCCGGAAATGCCTCAGAGGGATTCTAAAGAAGATTTAGAACGCTCAGTTTATGCCTAGAGACACTCAGAAACTCCGGAAATGCCTCGGAGGGATTCTTAGAGAGAGAAAGTCTAGAGAGAAGGGAGAACTATGTTGATTCTGTGTGGAAATGAGGGGGGGAGGACCCCTATTTATAGTTTTTCGCGCCTGACAGGTCGAGACCGCCGTTTCCTCTGACAGGGTCGAGACCGCCGTCTGGAAAGTCCAGACCGCCGTCTCGTTCATGGCAGTGGGTCGAGACCGCCGTCTGGATAATCCAGACCGCCGTCTCGACTAGGCAGGAATCGAGACCGCCGTCTGGAAAATCCAGACCGTCGTCTCGTCCTTTGCAGGAATCGAGACTGCCGTCTGGAAAATCCAGACCGCCGTCTCGACCTTTGCAGGTGACGAGACCGCCGTCTGGACAATCGAGACGGCGGTCTCGTCCTGGCGTTGAGACGAGACGGTGATCTGGTCCTTCCAGACGGCGGTCTCGTCCCTTCAGGGCGAGAAACTTTATTTTTCGAGCCAAAAAACCTTCCTATCCTAGTACGGGGGCCTAATAGTCTCTCCTAGTGGCTTGTTAGGCTTCGGCCGTCTTCAAATAGGAAGCTTTCTGACTTTATTTGGAGGCCGGACAAGATTTGGGGTCTACGGTTAATTTAAAATATTTATAGATTGTGTTTTCTAAAAATATATTATAGATTGAATAATATAAAAATATTAGGAATTGTGTAATCTATAATTTCTTATGATTTTGGATGATTTAAATTATATAATTATATATGTTTTGCATGTTTATTTCCTTTCGCTATGGTTAAGACTTGGGGAGGTAGTTCCCAACATTCAAAGCATGTTTTACTAACCACCTTTATAAGGCATAGGGATCGTGGGGAACCAAATATTATTAATGAATTTGAATGCAACATCGAGAAGAATGTTGTAGGGGAGTAACATGAAGAAGTTTTGGTACATTATGAATATGTTCTAAGGGGGCTTGATACAAACAAAATATGAAGAACACATAGCTCTTAGTATGTTTGAGGGAGTGGTGGGTTGAAGTATAAGTTAGTTTACAATGTTGATGTTGTACAAATTTAAAGTAATTAGTTGTTCTTGTAAGATTATGGTGAGTTAAAGTATGTATCCTATGGAAGAAAAATGAATAAGTTAGGGATCACACACCTGCGTATTGAAGTCACAATTCAATTATTTGGGTTGGTACCACTCATGGTGTTATTTATGACATAACACATAAGAGATTACTATTTGCCTTTGTTTGTGGGTGCTAGTTATGACATAATAAATAAGAAATTATTATTTGTCTTTATTGATAGGTGATATAGTGAGATTAATAGCTTCCATCTACCTATAAGTGAGATAACTATCTTATTATAACACTTGTTGATGTGGATTGATTTTATCGTTACATTCACTTGGACACATGTGAAACCACCAAGGTGTTGGTAAAGTTGTTTGGTGTTGATTTTGCAGCGACTTCTATAGAAACAAGACAATGTAGGTTTGGACATGCTCATCTTAATTCGATCCAAGAGATTTATGAGAATGCATGTACATACAATAGATGGATTGTCGTAGCTCAAACATATTTGATTCATTTGGTGAGATACACTAATTTTGTTGGCAAAAGTGTGATACCCATTAATGTATCATACTTGGGTGTAGGTTATATATATTGTTGAACCATTTCGTTTAGCGTAAATCAGTATTAAGTTGAAATCTGACATTGTATTAGTCAAAATCTACCATAATATAAGAACTTATAACTCTTCTTAGGTTATCTTTATCACAAGATCTTCAAATAAAGTGTTATGAGCAAGATATGAAAAATTAAAGATCTTGCATTAAAAAATAAAGAAGATCTTAATGTTGGAGGATTGAGCTTTCTACAATAACCTTGAAGATTTGTCAAATATTAAAAAAAATTAAATATTTTTTCTATAATAAAATATGGAGGCAATCAGCTTCCACCAAAATAAACAAATAAAATTGGAAAAATCTACTATATTTAATCGAATAATTGGAAGGAGATGAAGACCAAATGAGAAAAAAAAGAAAGAAAAGAAAGATAGGAACGAGGAAGGAGAAGATAAAAAAGAGAAAAAAAAAGAGATTCGAGTAAGAGAAAAAAAAGAAAGAAGTAAGGAAATATAATTGAGAATTGGTGGATGAAAAAAAAAGGAAATAATAAAAAAATTAAATAATAAAATTATATTATTAAATAAAATTTTAAATTTTTTATTATTTTTTATACACAAGTTTATTTTTAATTTTAACTTTAAGTCTTTTACAGGTATTTTTTACATATAATTTTTTTATACACAAATTTAAATTAATATAAATAAAAGTTTTATTTTAGTTTTAAAATTATCAAATAAATATTTTAATAAAAATAGTTAAAATCATAATTTAGTTATTATTTTTCATTTTTTACTATATTATTATTATTTATTAATAATATAAAATATTTAACTTATTTTTTATTTATATTTTTAAAATATTAAAATTTAATCAATTAATAATTCTAAAATATATTTCAAAATATTAATTATAATTTATTATGTAAACCACAAAAATTATATAAAATCTTGAAAAGAGATCCCTTCAAATAAAAATTAAATAAGTTCTTAAAAAAGTAGTATAAGATTCTAAATGGGATCTTACCACTAAAGATATTCTTAATCATAACCTATTATACTTGTTTGGTTTTATGGGTATCTCGTAGAGAAAAGTGTTGAGTGACATCTTAGATTATTTGTCTCAGAGCCACTTTCTTTATTGTAAATTATTTTTAAGTTGAAATCCAAAAAGTTTGATGATGTTAAAAATAAAGACTTAATTTAACATATATTTTTTTTAATATTTAAATTGATTAAAATAGGTTGAATCATGTGAACAAGGTTATTTTCTGACGACTTTTATTTATGAGTTGGACTAAGTTTTGTATTTTAATTTTCTGAATTCAGATCAAACTTTTGATTGGACTAATTTGAACTTAGTTCGTATGATTAGTTACAAATCATACAATTTAGATTGATTTAGGCTTAGTTTTTTGCATAATTTTTAATTGTGCTTTTAATAACAATGTCATGGTTTTACTATGTTTTTGGTGTCGAGGAATAACTAGAAATATGATTTGAAATTTGAAGACTAAGTTTGATAAGTTGATTTCTTGGTAGAAGAAGGTCTTGAAAACACGTAGAGACATGAGAACTTTTGTGAAAACGAGTGGAAGCTAGTTTATTTTAGATAACATTAGATTCTGAAAGAATATATGAAAAGCAAATGCAATAATGGTGTGATTCTACCGGAATATAAGTCCTTCATCATTATATAGGATAACTTTTTAAATGATGTGAAACTTTATTAACAAACGGAAAGATTATCCATTCTATTTGAAATTTTCATTCATTATTATTTTATCTTTAAAATATGCATTAATAAAAAAAATTGATATATATAAATTATCTTTATTTTAATTTTTAAGCGATCTAAAATTTTATGAGCAGAATTAGGAATCAGAATAATAATAAATATTTTTAACCATCAAATTATGTCACCACATATGCCTATTCAAGGGTTTAGATTAATTTATATAAAAATAAGGAGTCAAAGTTATAAAATAACAAAAATTAAAGGACAAGCATATAATTATATTTTTATTATTTACAAATTAAATTATTATATTTTTTACGTTGAAGATCAAAATAGATATTTAGTTTCACATCTCCACACTTCAAAAGAACCAAGAGCACACTCTGAACTTTTTCCGCTCTTCCATACAAAAATTATTAGTGTGGGGGTTCCCTTTCTTCATAGACATCAACTACATGCCATTTGCAGGCCAAGGATGTCCAAGGCATCTTCCTCTCTGGTTTCATACATTATATGCTAATCATGTGCACTAGCTCAATACTCCAAAATATCTTTTTTATGATTTGTTACGTGCAAAATGTCCAATAATCTCTGTCAAGAACATAATAATAGAGTTTTTTTTTTCTCTTATATTAAAAGATTTATTAATTAGTATTTATTATGGTTTTATTAATCAAAGAATCAACTATGAAAAGGTTTTATACAAATGTGTATTGTTGTATTGCATTGGATTTGGAGTCGACATTTCCAAAGTCCTCAACTACTTTAACCTACTTCCAATGAAGCCACAACAGCATTGTTTTCATCGACCCAGTTTGTAGGCTTCTACTGCCCCTATTATCTACCCAAAATCTAACACATACCAGCAACATACAAGGTCCAGTTTTGCAGTTCCTCTTCCTTTCTGTCTCCAGGTAACAAACACTCCACTTTCTCTGACCACCTCTTGCTCTTGTTTGTTTGGTTTATACAATGCAAGGTAGATACTATCAAGCAAATGTGGGTTCTATTGCGAAGCAGGGGCTAATTAATCTGTATGAACAAAGTCACCGTGTTTGTATTTGATCAAGGGATGTGTGTATGCATGCTTTTGGCACTTTTTTTTTATTGGTTTTATGCATATGATATTTGATCAAGTAATGGTTTTTGTCATCAGAGACTGTGACAAATGGAAATTTTAACCAAGTGGGTGGCTCAATTGTGGAGATTTGTGGGGATCTAGTAATTGGACTGAGGTTGTGTTTTCATGTTTTTGTTATTTATGAAAAAGATATAAGCTTTTTGGATTCTGGGAGTGTAGTAACGAGCTTTAATGTCGAGGGGTTATATATTCAATATAAAAGCTTACCAATATTTTTGTTTTTTTCTTTTCTGGTCTTTGCCACCTTTAGAATTTGTTCAACAACGAGGTTAGATTTGTTTTAATCATTTGATCTTTCTCGGGCATTGGTAGAAACTTTGGCTTTCATGTCTTTATTGCTTTTAATTAGTCAGAAGTGTATCTGTTTTCTTATAAAATTATTCTAACTAACCAAATATATGTATAATTGGCAGTATTGAATCAATTAAAGAAAATGTTAAATACATTATTAAGCTAAGTTATAACTTGGAGATTTACTTCTGTGATAGTTTTATTTACAATATGCTTAGTGAAAAGTTGGAGCCAAAATTTTGTAACCAAGTACCATAAGAGATAAGCAGGAAAAGTTTCAACTGAGGCCATTTGAACTGAGTTAACTTCTGCATTATTTATCAACCTGTCCTCTTTTCTGAGCTGTCCTTATTTGGTATCCGAGGTATTTTGTCATCATAAGGTTATTAAGTGCAAGGTTAGGACAAATGGAAAAGCACTAATCATTTCCCAATATATTGTGATATGTTGATTGATCCTAATGTTAGTTTTGTGTACAGATCTAGGTGCCCTGCCATCATTATACATTTGTACGAAATGGCAACAACAACAACAGTGTCCAACTTGCCAACTGCGATGTCAAGACACAAGATTCCATCATTACAAAGGTTTGCAAATGTAAGTCCTGCAAATCTTGGAGGAAGGTTTAAGGTTGGCTCATGTCATAAACTGGCAAGTGTTTGTCATGTTGCATCAACACAACCTTTCCAGCAGGGCTTGACAATGACATCAGCTGCTGTAAAATACGACAAAATCATAACTAATGCAATGTCCGTGTCTAGTTCAAACAGTGAAGTTCCAGGATTGCCAATTGATTTGAAAGGTTTCACTTCTATTTCGATGAATCTTTCGTATCAAAACATATTTGTAGGATGTCCAAACATCATATATTTGGTGTGTTTTTATTTTATCTTTTATGTAATCTTGAATTTGTTTGTTTACTTTATGATTTGAAGAACATATGCCCTTACTGGCCCTTCCCATGGTTAAATGAAGTAATGTCAAAAGGTTGTGTTGCGACTAAATGGCCTCTTTCTCTATTCAAGAGTTTACTCATTCCAAAATCTACTTTATTAAAAATGGTATACGAGAAAAGATAAGTATATGAAACATTGCACCTTAGACAGTATCTATAAATGTTGTATCTGCAACCTCTATATGATATAATAACACAACAATTAAGTGTTTACTTTTTTTCTCATAAATCTGGTATAGCCAAGTGTACCTTTTTTATCTTAATGTCCTTTTATATACCTTTGATTTGCTGTGGCATTCCACTGAATGTTAATTGATGTGCAGGTAAAAGGGCTTTCATTGCCGGTGTGGCTGATGACAATGGATATGGCTGGGCAATAGCAAAATCTCTTGCAGCAGCAGGGGCTGAAATTCTTGTTGGCACATGGGTACCTGTGAGTAACTATTACAGATTTTGCTGTTGTGTGTTTGTACATTGTTTACTTTTACCCTGATGTATTTTGGTGCAGTATACAAGTGGTCAGGTACTAACTTTGAACATTGTCATGCAGGCTTTAAATATTTTTGAGTCCAGTCTACGACGCGGAAAATTCGATGAGTCACGCAAGTAAAACTTCAAAGTGATGTTATTTTTTTTTTTTTTTTTTGTTAAAAAATGTGAAACTCATTTATTTTGCTAACAAGGAACTCTTCATTTTTCAGATTACAAGATGGCTCATTGATGGAGATTGCTAAAGTGTATCCTTTGGATGCGGTATATGACAATCCTGAAGATGTCCCAGAAGATGTGAGAGAGAAGTCCATAAGTTATCAAAATAAACAAATTACATTTACAAAGCATATCCCCTTCTAATGTCTGTGAAAATTGTATAGGTGAAAGCTAACAAGCGCTATGCTGGAGCCACAAATTGGACTGTCCAGGTATTGATCAACTATTCTGTCATCTGTATTTCGCTACCATTATGATACCCTTTCAATACCTTTGATGTGAAATGAGTGGCAACTTTGTGCCTAAAGGGCTTTTTAATTCGATTTATCTTAAATGTTTGAATATATTATCAGTCTTGTCAAATGTATGAGTTTATTTTCAGCTAATAGCATGTTATATGGTGCCATAATTTTGATATGAGAATTTTCTTGTGCTAAAATCACTCAGGGGAGCAGCTTATTTGATATCAGCTTCTTTTCTCATTTTCTTTTTAAGCTAATGATTATTTGCTAAATAAGCTATTAAGCTAAGTTGACTAAAGCTACCAAAAACCATTATTAGAAGTTCTTATTTCAAAACCCATACAATCAGGACTTGTAACATATAACTAATGTTCAAATCGGAGAATATTCCATTTTTTATACAGTTTAGAATACATTAAAACTTTACACCAGATATAGATAAATTTGTTGGCTGGTAAACATCATTGGTGCCAATTCAATGTGGACAGACATATCTAAATAGCTGCACTTTTGGGAGAAATAAAGCTCATCATAAATTTGGAGACAGAAATCATAATTAAGCATTTTTATTCAAAGAAATTTAGAATCTCTTCTTTAGTGGAGACTGGATGGATACAGAGAAAATAGTCGAAGGTCATACAATCTAGTGTTTCTTCTGTTCCCTGCCTGTAAACGAGCATATATAACCTAGTCAAAGTCAATGCTAAAGTTTACCTGGGCTGTTGACTAGAGGCTTTAGTAACTTATTCAATAAGATACATAAATTTAATCATAAGTAAATGATATAAATTCCTTACATGATGTAATTATGTACAAGATGAAAGGTCTTTTCTTTACTTTTTGTTTTTTGTTCTAAACTTTCTGTGACCAAACCTGAAGCTGAAAACGTAATTTCTTTCTGATTTCATATGATTAGCTAATTACTTGATTTTGGTTTAACTTTTATTCATTAATTTTGCATAATGGTGATGAATTCTAGACAATAATTGTTTGAAACATAGGATGCTCTGTTGAGTAGCATTTACATATGATCTGAGTCTCAGTTTGTTATATGTGGCGTTTACATTGTGATTTGATTTACCTTACAGGAAGTTGCTGAGTCTGTCAAGAAAGATTTTGGCACTATTGACATACTTGTGCACTCACTTGCTAATGGACCAGAGGTATTACAATAATGAAGTTTCTTATTGCCTCATGCCTTTTAGCTTTAACTGACACTTAACTTTGTTTTAGGTCAGCAAACCATTGTCTGAGACATCTCGGAAAGGATATCTTGCTGCCTTGTCTGCATCAAGTTACTCTTATATTTCATTACTCAAACATTTTCTTCCAATCATGAACCGAGGCATGTTGATAACCGAAAAAGGGTTGCCATTTTATTGCTTCATTCTTTGATCAATTATTGTTCTCACCTTACTGTTTTGGTTATAGATGGATCTGCAATTTCTCTTACCTACATTGCTTCAGAGAGAATCATTCCTGGGTGTGTTGGATATGCTTTAAAAACTCAAACTTGTTTATTTTGATCACATTTTTTCTATTTACAGTTTAGAAATGTCTTGTATGCAGATATGGTGGTGGTATGAGCTCTGCAAAAGCTGCTTTGGAAAGTGATACAAGAGTGAGTTTTCTTTTTCTTTTCTGCAAACTTTCAAATTATGTGCATGTAGCTTCGTATTCCTAACTTCTCCACCTCCCCCCTTTTACCCTTTGGATATTTGACATTATATCTCAAGTTTTCTGCTTTTCCAGGTGCTTGCTTTTGAAGCTGGTAGAAAGAAAAGAATCAGAGTCAATACCATATCCGCAGGTATTGTGTTATGATATTAAGAACTTAACAGTAACGGAAATCAGAAATGGATTGTATTAAATCCAAGACAGCTCAATACAATTAATATTCCAGATATGCTAGTAGTACATATAAGGAAATCTCAATAGAAGACTAAGGAAAGAGAAAGCTGCCAGAGGCACTTAGAGGAAGGAGATACTCCACAAAATTCACCCCCTTTTCTGTTATCCACTTTTGCCATATATTTCCTCATTTTCTCTCATCTTCAATGATTTCCTTATCCTCGCTTTCCTTATCATCCGTTTCTAATGACACATGACATGTTCATCTTGTTAAGTCATAGTTTTTGAATTGTATATGACATTGCCCTCCCCATCAAAAGTGACCCTGTCCCCAAGGTCAAATGTAGGATAAACATCTTTGATATAGGTCAAAAATTCTCACGTGTTGTGATTAGGACTAGCCCACTGTATAAGGATTTGGACTTCCCAAGAGTCACGATGTCTGACCTTACAAACATCCAAAACTGTAAGAGGAGTAATAACTGGTTGACTGTCAGAATCCAACAAAGGAAGGGGAACATACTGTTTTGAGGGAGAGCCAATGCATCTTTTTAGGAGGGAAACATGAAAAATAGGATGAATACGTGCATCAAGTGGTAAGAGAAGCTTATAAGCAACAATACTAATGCGCTGAACTATGCGAAAAGGACCGACATAATTCAGACCCAATTTTGCTTTCTTCCTAAGATAGTAAGAATGTTGACAATAAGGTTGTAACTTACAAAATTATCTACAGTGAATTCCACTTTTGTACGTTGGTGATCAGCAAAGCTTTTCATACGCAATTGCGTCCTGGATAAGTTGATGCAAATCTGAGCAAGGATAGAATCACGACGAAGATGTCCTGCCACATTGCAAGAAGCATTAGTGATTGGGGAATATGGAATAATTGATGGCGGGTCACAGCCATACACAATTTTGAAAGGAGTCATGCCAGTAGAGGTGTAAAATGAAGAATTATACCATGGCTCTATCCATTGAAAGAATTGAACCTAGAGCTTTGGAGAGTCATGAACAAAACATTGAAGTTACATCACAAGACATTTATTAAGCACCTCAGACGGACCCTCACTTTGCAAGTGATAAACTAATGACATCTGCAGGGATGTGCCTTGTAGCTAGAACAAATGTTACCAAAAAGAGTTAGGAAAAACACGATCACAATCATTCACAATCAATCTAAGCAGGCCGTGCAACTTGATCACAGTATGAACAAAAGTTTCAGCAACCGTCAAACTTGTATGATTAGCCTGCAGTTGAGCCAATGAGCAAACTTGGATAGTCGATCAATGACCACCATAATAATGAAGAAGCCATGTACAAGGGGAAAACCCATAATGAAAACCATGGCAACATCTTTCGAAATAGTAATAGGGATAGATAAAGGATTGAGTAATCCTACCGGATGAAATGTTTTATCACGCTGACAAACTAAGTAGCTTTGTACAAAAGATCTAATGTCTCTATGCATTTCTTGCCAAAAGAATGTAGTTGCAATGCCATGAAAAGTGGGCAAATAACATGCATGGACTAAAATTGGGGATGAATGAAATTCAAGCAAAATCATATCAATTATAGAACGAGCATTCGGAACAATAACCACCCCTTGATTCCGATAGAGTAACTCATTGTGCATAGGATAATGAGGCATCAAATTGGGATCAGAGTGTAAAGTATCAATGAGAGACTGAATAGTGGATGAAGCTTTCACTTGGAGAGCAATATCATCAAAAGATGAAGATTGAGGTATTGATAGAGCAATATAACAAAAGCAAGTAAGGGCATCTGCCGCAAGATCAGTCTTTCCCAAGCAATATTCAATTGTGCAATGGTAACCCAATAATTTTGGCAATTTGTTTCGGGATCTGCCCAACCTGGTCCGAAAGGTGCTTGTCATTAGAACATCATATGGCTTAGGACTTCATCAGCAAATTATTTTTGCATGCTTTCCTTTTCTCCTTGTAATGCCGTAAATTCATGATCTGGAGTAAGTGATGGCAATTGCATGGTGAAGAAGGAAGTGTTATAAAATCTTTATGCTCTGGTTATGCTATATTACCAACATTGTTGATGTCTAATTCCCTCCAAATTGGAGTTGTGTCTATAACGTATAGTGCTTTACAACATTATATCTGAACTACATAACAATTACTAAAAGTAATCAATTCTTGGCTTAGACAACAACAATTGTCTTATCCCACTAGGTGATGTAAGCTTTATGGATCACACGATGCCATGAGGCTCAGTTAAAACCAAATCTTCATACATATTATTCACCATGAAATCATTTTTATGATTTCCTCTAATGTTCTTTTTTATCTCTCTCTACCCTCTTCACAGTTGGTGGTCTAATAATTTCTCCTTCACAGGGTTGACAGGGGTGTTAAGAAAATACAATTATCCCTATACATTTTAATTTTATATTCAAAGAATTATTTTCTTCTCTCTAAATCCAATGTAACTTGTGTTCTATATGCAAACTTTTTCGTTTTTCTTTTTTTTTGTATGTCAATGAATTCAGACCAAATTGATAAACATATTGACTTAAATTATTTGCAATTGCATTTCAATGGTTAGGTCCACTGGGAAGCCGTGCAGCAAAAGCAATTGGCTTCATTGACATGATGATTGATTATTCATTTACCAATGCACCACTTCAGAAAGAACTACATGCTGGTAAAGTTTCCTTTTGAGATACTTCCTTTCTGAAATGACCCTTCTGCACTTTTTAGCCTACAACTACTTACACATTAGAGATTTTGTAACAGAGGAGGTGGGCAACACTGCTGCATTCTTGTCATCACCCTTGGCATCTGCCATTACAGGTTCTGTTATATATGTTGACAATGGCCTAAACGCTATGGGTGTTGGAGTTGACAGTCCAATATTTAAGCAACTTGACATTCCAAAGGAGCACCATTGAAATTGTTCCTCGAGGTCCTTAGTTTTTTACAATTTCATAAATTACTGAGCGGCTGTTTGAACTTTGTTACCATTGATTTTCATCATTTATGATCCACTTTTCATTATTGTCTTCAAAATGTATCTTCTCATTTGAAGGGTAGCTTGAGAAAGGAGTATTTGAGGTTAAATTATTTTAGTTTTTAAATGAAAAATTGAATAGGTATGTTGAATTATCTAATATAGCTATACTAAATAATGTTAAGGTCCTTGTACTTTCAATAGAGTTGCATTTAAAATTAAAAGCATAGGAATATATAAAGTTAAATAAATTGATAAAATTCAAAATTTATTGAATGGCTAATGAACTATAAAAATTAAGATATAAGTAATATTATATGCGTGAATAAATCAATTTAAATTTCCAAGTTTTAAAGATTTAATTCTACTATATATATATATGTATATGTATATATATATATATATATATATATATATATATATATATAATTGGTTAACTTTATTATTTGAAAATATAACTATTTAACTCTGTTATTTATTTATTTGTAAACACAATGATTAAGATTTCAAAATTATGGCAACTCGTGTTTCCTACAAATATATATAACAAATGCATCACCCAACCTAATAATCCCTGAGACAATAACGTTTTATTAAAAAAAAAATCTTATTTTAGAAAGAGTTATAGGATCTCCAAATTGTATTTCAATAATGAAGTATCATGCTTAACTTTTCTCATTGTATTTCTTTGAAAAAAATAATAACAGTTTATTTTAAAATAAAAATTCAAAAATTTCAACTTATCATAACTCAAATCAATTTTATAAATAATATATTTTGTATTACTACCACATAACAAGTTATTAGTCAAGTCTTGATTCAAAAAAAGTGGTAGTTAGAGAGACCCATCTATTTTGTCAATTGTATTTTATAAGGAGTTGTGGCAAGATTTTATTAGGAGCTATGACAAGATGTAAGAAAATTCAACAAGCAACATTCACAATTGTAAAGAGATTGAGGTACTGTTTTTTAAGTTTTTCGGTAATAGTCAAAACTAATTTACCAATTTGGTATGTTCTTCATAAACTCGATTTGGTTTATCGGACGATGAAATGGATGGTCGGGTTGTTGGAATACTGACATAACATATGAATCAAGAGGACCCTAAAGGCCCAAGTATTTGCCGAGCTAACACCTCCACCAGTTTCAAAGACATAACAAGACTCAATGTGGATCTTATCAGTGGATGGAACGTCTAATACGCAAGAAAGTGGTGCAGAGATTATTTTAGAAGGACTCGATGGAATAATGATTGAACAATCTCTACGATTTGCATTCAAAGCCAACAACAATCAAGCAGAATATGAGGCGCTATTAACATGAATGAAGTTGGTAGTAGAAATGGGTATCAAAAGGTTAATAGTCAGAAATGATTCATAATTGGTCACAAACCAAGTAATAGGAAATTATCATACTTAAGATCCACACTTAGCTTAATATCTATGAGTGGTCAAGGAGTTAGTGAAATCATTCCATAGTTTTAATCTAGTCCATGTTCTGAGAGATCAAAATTGCAGAGTTGACCTTTTGTCCAAATTGGCAACTATGAAGAAGCCAAGAAATTACCGATCTGTTATTCAAAATATGTTAGCCAAATAGAGTGTTTGTAGAGATGTGAGAAGTTCTTCAGATTGGGGAGCAACAATCATGGATGGACTTGTTTATGGACTATCTTACTAGTGAAATTGAGCCCGTTACCACTGAAAAAAGGACCTTTTTTTGAAGAAAGGTTGTATGATTTACCATTATAGTAGAAAAATATTTTAGACGAGATTCTCAACCTGACTACTCTGATGTGTTACAAGCCATAAGAATTGTAGTTGATTTACATGAAGGATTATGTGGAGGTCATATTGGTGGATGAACATTGGCTAGGAAGGTTCTCTGAGCATGATATTATTGGCCCACATTAAGACAAGATTGCCTCCTATACATATGTGGATGTAAAAAATGCTAGAGCCATGTGAATGCTTACTTAGCATCACCTTGAACAAATGCACACAATAGTGTCTCTGTGGCCCTTTAACAAGTGAGGGTTGAACATCCTTAGCCCATTCCAAATCGCAACACATCAGATGAAGTTCCTCGTGGTTAGAATAAATCATTTCACCAAATGGATAGAGACAAAATTGATTGTGGTCATATCGACATACAAGGTTAAACAATTTTTATAAAAGTCGATAATATGTCGGCAACTTGAAGAGCTCTACATACAACTAAATATCAAAAATATATTTTCCTTGGTGGAACATGCTCAAAAGAATAGCCAAGCAGAAGTAGCAAAAAAGTCATTTTAAGTGGGCTCATGAGGCAATTAGGAGACATAAAGACGATATGGGTGAACAAGTTGCCACATGTGTTATATGGGACCAATGCCATGCTACCAGTAGAATTGTCAGTACCAACTGAAAGAGTGTTGAATTTCTTCGAAGATATATGTGAGGATGGAATAAAATAGAGCTAGACACCCATGAACGAAATAAGGGAACAAATCCAACTTAAAATTAAGTCGGCTAAACACCAAGTAGAGTTGAAGCACATGTCTAAATTTATACTTAAGGCCTTTTAGGTTGTATATTTAGTCCTAAAGCGAGCTCAGCCAAATTAGATGACCAATAAATTATCGGCTTAATGGGTTAGGTCTTATCGGATAATAGAAGTAATTGGGAAGAAAGCATATAGGTTGGAAACCTTGGATGGAGGAAGCATCCCTTAGACCTAGAATGAATCAAATTTACATTTTTATTTTAGTTAAGTCATTGTTATTTTGTAATTATTACATTTACATTCAAATTCATTTTTCTTTCATGTAATTAGGAGGTTTTTTCTTGCCACCTTAGGTTTTTCCTCCAAAGATGAATAAAAGAATAAAGAAAAGAGTTTAAAAATATTGAATAGAGCGACAAAAGGGAGACAAATGACTTCAAAGCCAATAAGAGACCTCATGAGGTCCACGACGTGCCATAAAGAGACCATTGATTGAGATCTAAGGCACGGTCATGCCATGAGAGATCCTTGATTGAGATTTGAGGCATGACCCATATTAAAGTCGACAAGAGACCCCATGAGGTCTATGACGTGCCATAAAGAGATCCTTGATTGAGATCCAAGACATGACCCATATAAAAAAGAGTCCCCTTGGACTTCATGACATGTCATAAAGAGATATTTGATTGAGATCTGAGGCACGATCATGCCATAAGGGATCTTTGATTAAGATATGAGGTATGACCCATATCAAAGTTGGCAAGATACCCGATGAGGTCCACAACGTGTCATAAACAGATCCTTGATTAAGATTTGAGGCACAGTCATGTCATAAAAAATTCTTGATTGAGATCTAAGGCATAACCCACAAAAATTCCATACAAGTCAATAACTTTTCTATGAATAAGAAACATGACTCATACCGTGTCCATCATAGAATTTCATACATATTGAAGATAAGTACAAGACCAACAAAAATAGAAAAAGAAATTTGTACAATAAGCAAATATATGAAATCACATAAGAATAAAACTACTCTTCATCAACAATTTGCCTGTTAATTACATTTTTGAAGGGATCAAGAGGAGACAAATCAAAATCATGAAAGAGGACTTTGATCCCCAACAAATCCCGTAGCATATGTCTTGACAATCTCGGTCTTGACAAGATCTTAATATTCTTGTAAGGTGGAATTTTCCGTAGTCAGCTTAGAAATTTTATCAACCAAATATTCAACTTTAGCTTGATGATTCTTTTTAAATGCATCATAGGTAACTTTTTCAGTGTTCAAGTCGTCTTTGACCTTCTTTAACTTTTTCTCAGTTTCAATATAAGATTTGTTAAGAGCCTTTAATTCTTCTTGGTAACGAGAAGCTTTCTGAAAAGCTTTTTCTTTCTCATTAATAGCAAAAATAGCCACTTGAGCCTTTTTCTCCACCCTCAAGGCTAAAACATTAACCTTATGGGTTGGAGTTTGTATTCCTCGAATGAGCTCTAAGCTAGTCATCCCATCAAAATTGACAAAATTAGGCATAACCTCTAAATCTCCACCATCAAGGCTTGACCATCCGATTGGTCGGGTGCCACAATCATGTTTAACGACTCGATGTGGATGACTCTCCTATTTCTAGTTAAGGAATGATCAATTTTGGTGCTCTTGGACCCTGAATGCATGTCCTCAACATGTATTGGAACTGAGCTTCTAGTCATTACCATATTTTGAGAGGCTTGTATCTCTTTAGCCATAGCCTCACGAAGTCAATGACTCATCTCCTCCTTTGATAAAACCATTTTTTTTTGCCAAGAGGGGAGAATAAGAATTTGAAGCACATGAAATATTTAGCAAATGGAAAGAAAAGCTAGATAAAGGGAAGATACCTACATAAACTTTAAGATCTATCACTTGAAATTCTAATTTTAAGAGAATGGAGGTGTCAAATATAATATTAAGTCCCCTAATTTTTTTAATACTTAACCTCATTGGTCAAAATGTTATGAACCAGAGGAGACAAAATGTATGAAAATGATAAGCCAATAGTGGAGCAAAACAAAGACAAGTAAGGATCAAGCAAAAGCAAATGGCTAAACATGGAGAAAAATGGGAGGATCGAGGGATTAGAAACATACCTAGAAGTAGAGGAATAAAGGCATACCAAGGGCTTAACAAGAAATGTTGGCATATAGAGAGAGAGGAGTTTCAAAGAAGAAGAGGAGGCAAGGCTAAATATTTGAAAGCTTGCACATGCAAGTCGTGTGCAGATGCAACAGACTCAAACGTTTAAATGACAACGATTGACATGTGCCACAATTTCATATACCCAAAAATGAAACTTCGTTGTTAAAATAGAGTAAAACTCGATTGGAAGGTCAGTTAGTCATAAGGAATCAAGGTAATTATGCCATTGGTATGTTTCTTAGAGTCATGTTTCATTGCCAAAGCCTAGACATCGTGAACTTAGGGTTGGAGGAGTATATTTTGTTCAGGTCTTCAACCTCGCCTTATGTCCGACCACTCCTATATTATTACTTCACATCTAAAGTCTCAACGTTATTGAGACTTAAAGCTAAGGGGTTGTTTTACACCCAAGTTGCATTCTTGGTTAGGGGTTGATAATTCCCTAATTTTAGCTTCATAATATAGGCCTCGACGCCTTCAAACTAGAGGCTAAAAGACGTTGATACGATTGAATCATTAGCTTCGGCTAATGCCCAACCTCGTTGATCGGCTGTAGGGCACTTGCCTTTCGTAATTAATCTATAAGGGCGAGAATCATGCAATTTCATAATTTTCGCCAAAAGTCAGAATTGTCACCCCAAATTATAAGATACGAATATCAAACCATTCAATACATTTGAAGATAGATTCTTAGGATCTCGGTCCATGAGGATTTAACCTAATCCCAAACATTTCCATAAAGGGATTAGGGGATGGGGTTCCAAGGCAGGTTTTCCACTCAAACGGAACTAGTTAAAGTCTTATACAATTTTGGTTAAAATAAAAATCAAACTTATTCAAATGGAATTTCTATCAATTTATTTACCTAACTAGATTTGACTAATGTTTATATGCAATTTTTCTTCTATCTTTTAAGATTTTTTTTTCTCATTCACTTTTAAGTCGTTTCAACAAAATATTTATTAAAAATTACTTTCAAATAAATATTGATTTTTTTCTTAATAATTATAATATAACAATAATATTTGTAATACTTAAATATTTTTATTTTTTAGAAATGATAAAAAACCTATTTAATAACTTTTAATTAGAAGAATAAGATGAAATGAGAGACCTAAGCGAAGAACAAAAGCGAGAAGGAAAAAGAGGAAAATAAGTTGAGAATAAAGAGAGAGAAAAAAATAGAAAATTAAATAAAGAGAGAGAATAAAAATAAGAGAAAAAAAATGAGGAAAGAGCTACAACTTCTCCATCCTATCATAGGACGGATTGACGGATTAGTATGTCAATAATTTTTTAAATATATCTTTAATTATATGAATAATTTTTAAGTTTTTATTTATTAATTAATATTTTATTAGATAAAGTGAAAAAATTATTATATTTATATATTAAAATCACTAATTATAATAAATAATTTAAATTAATTAATTAATTTTTATAATTTAAATTATAATAATATAATATATTTATATATTTCAACAACATAATATAAAAAATTTAATAGTTTTAATTATAATTATTTTTATTTTTATTTTAATATTTAAACATTTTTTTAAAGTCAGTTTGCCCACCACCAATTCGTCTCGCCATTTTCTAGGTAGACTAGCAGGTGAGTGCCAACCCATCAAGTATGAGTTTAGGGTTCAACTAGAGTTTAATCAGGATTTAAATTAGAATTGAACCGGGTTTAATAAAATAGTATATTTTAATAATATAATAATATATTGAACTTAAAATAAGTTTATCACAATCTAATAACAATTCCAATCCAATATAAATGTTATTTGAAAAAATATTATATATTAATAAGAATGATTTATAGAATACATAAAGAAAAGTAACATGAATAAGTATATCATTAAACACTTGGAGTATAAAACAATTAGAGAAAAAAATTATCGCTACACCTAACTTAAAAATTATTAGGAAAAAAATTACGTCTAACTTGAAAACAATTAAAGGGGAAAAACTTACCATATCTTCCATTGCATCTAACTTCAAATTTTATATATTTTATTTTATTTCAAGACCTGGTTTTCACTGGCTACTCATCAAATTAATTTTTGAAATTTAGAGATTGTGATTTTTACATGTTATTGTATTTCTATGAATGATTATATTGATGATATTAGTAGAAAATATAGGACAAAATGACGTCATTGAACTCTTTTTTTTTTTTTATAAAAAAAAGGACCTAGGTGACCCCTTGACGATCTGGTTTCACCTATTTATGTTTTAACCTAGGTTCATTATTTATCCAGACTTTTAGGGAGCTCTGGACCGATTATCGTTCAGCTTCCGGTCTAACCTGGTTGAGCCGCCTAGTCCGTTTTATTATTTTTTGTGTTTATGACGTAATTAAAAATTTTAGAAAGGAAAAAATGTATATAAAAATTAATTATTATATAAAAATAAACATATTATATGTTATAACAATATATTTAATATTATTAATTAAATTTAAATTATAAAAGTTAAAATTTATCTTCTTATTTATTATTTTTTTAAGAAAATGAGTTTATAATTTTGTTTATATTTTTAAAATTAAATTAATTTTTTATTCGTATTTTAATATTAAAATAAAATATAAAAAATATTAAAATAATTAATTAATTAATAATAAATAATAAATAAATCAATATTTTATATTTTTATATATATTATATATGCTAAGTTATTATTATAATAAATAAAAATAATAAAAAATAATTTTATATATTATTTCTTATTTTTAAAATATTATTGTAGGTATCTTTTATTTTTTAATTTTATGTTTTTAATATGAATAAAAAAAGAAATTAAAAAGTAAGAAATTATAATTTTTATGTTATAAAGTTCAAATTATAAAAATATAATTAAAAACTAAAAAAACTTATAAAACTTAGAAAGTGAATGAATGTAAAACAAAAATAGAAATATGAAAAGATAATATATTATATATAAAGTTGAAGTGAGAAATGAATAGGTGAGAAAAAATATAAAAATATAAATAAAAAAAATAAAATATATAAAAAAATTATGTAAAAAAAATATAATATTTATTAAAAATAGAAAATTTGAAAAAAATATTAATTATATTTATAAAATAGTTTTTATTTTTATTTTTAAAAATAATTATATATGTGTGTGTATATATATATATATATATATATATATATATATATATATATATATATATATATATATATATATATATATATATATATATATATATAATTGGTGGGGCCGTGGCGCCCTGGGCCCCTTAAATCTGTCTCTGTGTGCGCCCATCTCAATCCGACCCGCTTACCTACGGATCCTCCCGCTCCACTTGTTTCGGCTTCGCTCTGTGCCGCGGATTCCGACACCGAAAACCGCACTCTCCAAAACGACTGCGTTTTCTGCAAGATTATTCGTGGTCAATCACTAGCTTTGAAGGTAAACATTGTTTTTATTTCTGGAAATTGCGGTCAAAGATTAGTGTTTGGGAATAAATTCTCATTCAAAGTTTTTTAGAGTCTACAGAGTTAATGCCATCAATTTGGTCCAGAATGATAATGTTTGTGGGATTGCAATCCAAACTCCAAAGTTACTGATTCCTTGCTCTGAATTATTGTTTAAGGAGCAAGTTGATGTTGTTAATATTAAAAAGCTGGAGCACGGGTTGTATGTACAATGAGTTTTCAACTTCGTTAGTGTGGTGATTTTTTTTTCTGCCACATGTTATAAATGATTCTGCATTTTCTAAAGCTGCTAAATCAATTACCTCGGTAATTCACTGATGTGTTTGTTAAACATGCATGAACAGCACTTGATATGTTTACTGGCACTTTTTGTTTTCAAAGTATGAATAAATAGAACTTGATAAGCACTATGTTGCTGAAAAGTAATAGCTCAAGCTTTATATTTGCTAAGAAATCACAAATGCTTTAATTGATCAAATGAAATATTGTGTTTATAAATTGGAAACATTGACTGTTTATCTTGTTGGGGTTATGGTAATTTTTCAAATTTTGTTGGTTGGAGTTTGGTATTGAAACTGTGCTAATCAGAGAGAGAAAAAGATAGGGAGAGGGAGAATATTATCGAATTGGAGTAATTGAAACCTTGCTTCAAGAACCTGGAAATTTTACCACAATTGAAAAGTATTTGTAGATGGAGTTTCTTAGTTTAAATTTGTAAACAATTGAAATACATATATTTATCCTAGCAAAATTTTGTGAACACTACCCAATCCACTACAAGAGTTTTCCGATATTGGTTTTGATGCCTTAGACTAAAGGGAGTCTCGTCAACATGTGACCTAGAGGTTAACATACTCTTAATTGTTATCTCGTCCACGTACTTAATTGTTGTCGTTACACTTTTCTTATGATTAATATACTCTTCAACCATGTTTTCTCATAACTTCGACCCTACTTTTATTAATATTTTGTCAAATCAACAGCTTTATGAAGATGACATGTGCCTATGCATACTGGATACAAGTCCGCTGAGTCATGGGTAAGGTGTCATATGTATCAAGGTGCAATTCCATATAGGTATATTGTAAGAGATTGTATTTTGTTATTTCACTATTTTATGAACATATATACATATGGTACATGGAGTAAATAAGAAGCATGTATTTTCAGTTTCATATTTGAGTTGTGACATTAAATATCAACATTGGTTCTATTAGTTAATATTTGATGTCTTTAATTTTTTTCCTTTACATTTCCTTCATGTGTCAATGCAATTTTGAAGCCATTCTGGTGCACAAACTAAGTTAACATGAAAACTACTGAGCCTGGTAAGCCTATCTATCATCATACTAGCAAAGTAATATCCCAAAACAAACTGTGTTTAAGATTTGCTGAAAATTTCAATAGTTTCCCCTCTAATATTAGCACTCCAAAAATGAAAGCACATGGTAAAATACACACACTCACAACATGTCAACACTCACCAACCAACAACAACAAACAACAGAGTATAACGTTTCGTGAATTAAAAGATCTAGTACAACCCAAGATAATTTCTAAAAGTAATGTCCTACAGATGCAGTGTCAGATCCCAAGAAAACAAGAGACCTACCCAAAGGTAATGGAGAGAACAACAACTCCTGTGAACCTTGTACTCAACTATCTTGTTATCTGATTACGGAGGTAATCATATAACCAAAGTTAATTGGAAAAGGAAACAAAAAACAAGATATTGGTGGTTCCTTTTAGGGATTAGGTAAGAAACATTTAGTGCAAAGAAGGTGAATAATATAAACAAAATAAATAAAATATGTGCATGTATAAGAAGTTAGGGAATTTATAATTTAATAATTGTAAAGATAATTTAGTTTATTTATCAAGCGTAGAATAATATATAAAGGTGATGATGAAATGTAACCATTTTCCAAAATGTGAAGTTGTAGATTATTTTACTATTACACTGTTCACAATTGTGAGAACCAAATTTGGAAGTTTTCATCTCATTGATGGCCATATCCTGCTATGGTGATCCCTCCCCTAGGGCGATTTCATGTAATGACAATTCTTTAGTCTCTCAATCACATTATATAATCTCATCCCGTGGGTCAGTGCTTCATCTCATATATAACCATTTCTGTGTACTAGAGGATCCATCAAATGAATAGCTCTTTCCTCTTGGAAACAGTGGTGGATCTTGACATATGATTTTGGGAGGATTAAATAATATATTATTAATAAATAACAAATAAATATGCAAAGATGGAAGAATATGAAAAATAAGAGGCCAAAATTGGAAATATACAAGTGGGCCAAAATCATAAATGTACAAAACACAGGCCAGTAATTAAGCCTGTGTTTTCACTAGTCTTCAATAATGGGATTCTAAAACTGATCCCCCATAAATATGTAAATATTAAATCTACTTGTTTTATACCAAATAAATAACATTAGATCAAGATAGCCACAAATAGATATATCCAGTTTTGTACAATTTCCTTTGTTTCCAACCTCAATTCTACAAAAACACTGGTTGCGATGACTACTTCTTGGGTTGTTTTCTATGTGAATAAAATGAGAATGTGAAGATTTCGTGGAAGGTATATATGATAGAATAAAAGTATAGAATCGTGATTCCTAAAGTTTTGTAAATTCCGCGTACATTTATGATTTTGAGTGGGAAATGCACCTTTGAGAGCTTTGATAAATTGTATAGATTTCAAATAAAGATTTTTTTATTTTTTTTTTTCTAATTCGTTTGCTAGGTTTGATGATTTGCCAATGGAATGTTTAACAGTCCCATGCATTTGAGTTTTTGAATTTGAATTGTTAATTTAGTGTTTGCTAGATAACTACTGAGTATGTATGTTTAACAGATCGTTAAGCTTCAGTTTCCAGAAGACATGGTTGTGATATTCTGTCCCTTTCGTATGATCCTTATGAATTATCTCATCTATAGAAAGTTCAACTGGAAAAGTTCACAACTTGCTTACAGATTATCCTCTTCACTCGCTTTCGTACAAAACCCATTTGGTTCATGTGCAAAACATGAAGAAAAGTTCACCTTTTCCAACCCCTTTGAGTTCTTACATGCTTACAAGTTTTCAGGGAAGTATAGTGTTAGGAACACGGAAATCTTGCATGCTCATTTGCTTAAAACTTGTAATTTACAATCTGATATCTTCTTGATGAACTCTTTGCTTGATTGGTACTGCAAATCTGCTGACATGGTTATTGCCTGCAAGCTGTTTGATACATTTGCTCTTCCAAATCTTGTTTCTTGGAACATCATGATATCAGGTTGTGAGCATAATTCAATGTTTAGGAAGTCATTGAAGATGTTTTGTAGAATGCGTTTGCTTGGTGTTGAGCCTGATGAATTTACTTATGGAAGTGTTCTTTCAGCCTGTAGTGCGCTGCGAGCTCCAATATTTGGCAAGCAAATTCATTCACTTGTAATTAAGAATGGTTTTCTTTCCAGTGGTTATGTTCAAACTCGAATGGTGGATTTGTTTTCAAAAAATTGCAATTTTAAGGAGGCTCTAAGGTTTTTTTATGATGCTTCACATGATAATGTGGCTTGTTGGAATGCTATTATTTCTGTGGGAGTTAAAAGTGGAGAAAGTTGGGTTGCTTTGAACTTGTTTTGCCAAATGCGCCATGCATCTCTAATGCCAAATAATTATACATTTCCAAGCATCTTAACAGCATGTGGTGTGCTTAAAGAGTTGCATATTGGGAGAGGAGTTCATGGGTGGACAATCAAATGTGGTGCAACAGATGTCTTTGTGGAGACTGCTATTGTTGATTTCTATACAAAATCTGGATGTATGAGTGAAGCTTTTAGACAATTTTCCCAGATGCAAGTCCATAATGTGGTCTCCTGGACTGCAATCATTTCTGGATTTGTACAAGAGGATGACATTATTTTTGCACTTAAGCTTTTCAAAAATATGAGAGCAATAGGGCAGCAAATTAATAACTATACAGTTACTAGTGTAGTTTCTGCATGTGCTAAACCCGGGATGATTAAGGAGGCAGGCGAAGTTCATTCCTTGGTATTAAAATTAGGGTTGAATTTGGATCCTAAGGTTGGAGCTGCTTTAGTCAACATGTATGCAAAAATAGGAGAACTTGGACTATCTGAGTTAGCCTTTAGTGAGATTAAAAATACAAAGGATCAGAGCATATGGGCTGCCATGTTGTCTTCCTTGGCACAGAACCAAAATTCTAGAAGAGCAGTTGAGTTATTCCTTGTAATGTTGGGAGAAGGTGTGAAACCCGATGAGTATTGTATTAGTAGTGTGTTAAGTATTATGAGCTGCTTATGTGTAGGGTCACAAATAAATGGTTATGCTTTGAAGTCTGGGCTAGTCTCTAATGCCTCCGTTGGTAGTTCACTTTTAAAAATGTACTCAAAGCGTGGTTGTTTAGAAGAATCTTATAAAGTTTTTCAGCAAATCCCTGTCAAAGACAATGTTTCATGGTGCTCCATGATTTCTGGTTTTGCAGAGTATGGGTGTGCATATCGATCTCTTCAGCTATTTAAAGAAATGATATATCAAGAAATTGAACCTGATAACGTTACCTTAATCTCCACCCTAGCAGCATGTTCTGATCTTTGTTTCTTAAAGACCGGTAAAGAAATTCATGGTTACATTTTCCGTTTAGGAATAGGAACAAACATAATTGTTGGTGGTGCACTTGTAAACATGTATTCAAAATGTGGAAGCTTGAACTTTGCGAGGACAGCGTTTGATATTTTGCCACAAAAGGATGCATTTGCCCTTTCTTCCTTGGTCTCAGGTTATGCCCAAAAGGGTCTAATTGAAGAGTCATTTTTGTTATTCCGTGATATGCTCCGAACTGATATAATAGTTGATGCCTTCACAATTTCATCCACTCTTGGGGCTGCTGCAGTTTTGTATCGGCCAGACATTGGAGCACAACTGCATGCATACATCGAGAAATTGGGTTTACAAGCAGATATATCTATTGGTAGTTCACTAGTGACAATGTACTCAAAATGTGGCAATATCGAGGATTGTGAGAAAGCATTTCATGATGCTGAAAAGCCTGATCTGATAGGTTGGACATCCATCATAGTGAGCTATGCTCAGCATGGGAAGGGTGCAGAGGCTTTAGCTGCATATGAACTCATGAGAAAAGAAGGTGTCCAACCTGATGCAGTAACTTTTGTTGGGATTCTATTTGCATGTAGTCATAGTGGGCTGGTTGAAGAAGCCTTCTTTTATTTCAATTCAATGTGTGAAGACTACAATATTAAGCCTGGTTATCGTCATTATGCTTGTCTTGTTGATCTTCTTGGTCGATCAGGTAGACTAAGGGAGGTTGAGAGTTTTATTAAAAACATGCTTATTGAGCCTGATGCTTTAATATGGGGAATTTTGCTTGCTGCTTGCAAGGTCCATGGTGATTTTGAGCTTGGCAAGTTAGCAGCCAAAAAAATATTGGAATTGGAGCCAAGTGATGCTGGAGTATACGTATCATTTTCAAATATCTGTGCAGATGTAGGACAGTGGGAAGAAGTTACAACGATTAGAAACTCATTGAAGGGAACTGGGATGAAGAAGGAGCCTGGTTGGAGCCTTTTGTGAAGAGCTATAAATATGATGCCATGATAGGTGACTCTTAATAGCTACTAATCTGCTCTGTTGAATTCCTTACATAAACATATGGTAAAAGAAGAAGCATTTATTTTCAGTTTTATATTTGAGTTGTGACATTGAATATCAATATTGCTTCTATTAGTTAACATTTGATGTCTTTTATTTTTTTCCTTTACATTTCCTTCATGTGTCAATGCAATTTTGAAGTCATTCTGGTGCACAAATTATGGTAACATGAAAACTACTTAGCCTGGTAAGCGTATCTATCATAATACTAGAAAAATAATATCCAAAAAAAACTGTGTTTTAAGATTTGCTGAAAATTTCAATAGTTTCCCCTCTAATATTAGCATTCCAAAATTGAAAGCACATGGTAAAATACACACACTCACAACATGTCAACACTCAACAACCAACAACAAAAAACAACAGAATATAACGTTTTGTGTATTAAAAGATCTAGTACAACCCAAGATAATTTCCAAAAGTAATGTCCTACAGATGCAGTGTCAGATCCCCAAGAAAACAAGAGACCTACCCAAAGGTAATGGGGAGAACTACAACTCCTGCTAACCTTGTATTCAACCATCTTGTTATCTGATTAAAAAAAATAAAAGAGGTCAGCAATGAAGACTCACGGAGGTAATCATATAACCAAAGTTAATTGGAAAAGGAAACAAAAAAACAAGAAAACAAAAAAATAAGATACTAGTGGTTCCTTTTAGGGATTAGGTAAGAAACATTTAGTGCAATGAAGGTGAATAATATAAACAAAATAAATAAAATATGTACATGTATAAGAAGTTAGGGAATTTATAATTTAATTATTGTAAATATAATTTAATTTATTTATCAAGCGTAGAATAATATGTAAAGGTGAAGATGAAATGTAACCATTTTCCAAATATTAAAATTGCAGATTATTTTACTATTACATTGTTCACACTTGTTGTGATAATCAAATTTGTCAGTTTTCATCTCATTGATGGCCATATCCTGCTATGGTGATCCCTTCCCTAGGGCGATTTCATCTAATGATAATTCTCTAGAGTCTCAATCACATTATATGATCTCATCCCCGTGGGTCAGTGCTTCATCTCATTGATAACCGTTTTTTATACTAGAGGATCCATCAAATGTACATAGGCCGTTAGGTATAACTATATATAAAACAGATTTTTTTCTTAACCGCTCTGTGTCATCAGAGAGAAAAGATAAAAGTGTTATAGTTTAATAAATAAAAAATAGTTATTATGATTTATATATTTTAAAAATAGTAAAAATATAAAAAAGAGAAAAAAGTGGATATATTTAAAAAGTGAAAAGAGAAAATAAAATAAATTTTAAAATAATATTTTAAAAAAAATTAATTATACAAAAAATGTGGACATTTAAGTCTGTGTTTCCACTAGTCTCCAATAATGGCTATAGGATTCTAAAACTGACCCCCCATAAATAAGTAAATATTAAATCTACTTGTTTTATACCAATAAATAACATTAGATCAAGATAGTCACAAATAGATATATCTAATTTTGAACAATTTCCTTTGTTTCCAACCTCACTACAAAAAGCACTGTGGATGCGATGACTACTTCTATGAGAATAAAATGAGAGTGTGAATATATAGAGGAAGAGAAACAAAGAATTATACATTAGGCTAAGGGGATATATGATAGAATATAAGTATAGACTCATGTGTTAGGTAAAATTAATAATAAGTTAATTAGAATTTATTGGAACGTTTTGTAACCATTGAACATTTAGTAAGTGATGTTATTGAGGACCATTATTATAGAACGTTTTGGATTCTAGGGAGTTAATATTTTGGTTTCTATAGAGTTAATACTAGGAGTTTTTGGGAATGTTTAAATACAAAGTTGTAATCCTGTTTTCAGTATGACAAAGATTCATAAAAGTGAAGTTTCTAAGTTTCTGAGTAATTCTTTGTTATCAAATTGGTATCCAGAGCTAGGGATTTTTAGAGGATTCAGAAGAGTGAGAGCTAGGGTTTGAGTGTTAGAAAAAGTGAGATGGCCGGTCTGACAAATGCGGTTGCAGTTGTGCTCTGTCTAACAAAGGACGTCAGCTATGATAAATGGAGTTTCCAGATGAAGGCTTTCCTCATAGCCCAAGGTGTTTGAAAGATGGTAGAGGAAGGTTTTGAACAGCCAGAGACCACGAAAGAATTGGCGATCAATGAACTCAAGGAGTTAGAGAAGAAACGTGATAAAGACAATTTGTTTCGAGCTATAGAATATTTTGACTTTTAGAAGATTGTAGGAGCCACATCGGCATCTGATGCGTGGGATGTGTTGAAGGAGCACAAGAAAGATGACCAAATCACACGGATTCGGCGTTAGACACTACGATGAAGATGAAGAGGTCGGAAAAAGTTTTTGAGTATGTCGTATGTGTTGAAAATGTGGCAAAACAGCTTAATTAGAAGGGAGAGGTATTTTCCACATAACAGATTGTTGAAAAGATATTGAGGTTATTAACAAAATCCTTTAACAACGTGGTGTGTGCAATAAAACAAGCGAAGAACTTGTCTGAGCTTTCAATGAAAGAATTGATCGGATTTCTTGAAGCCTATGAATACCGAATGTAGAAAGATAAGGAGGATGAGGATACGAGTGCGAAACTACTCCAGTCTGAGGGGAGGACTCTCTATTCTCATAATAATAGAAGAAGAGAACGTAGTGGTGGTTGGTCCTGAGGTGACCAATCTAGATTTGGTGGCCGAGGTGACGAGAAGGAAGAGGGGACTTAACAAAATCGGCAAGGTAGAGGACATAGACTAAGAGAAGGTTGATCAATGGACCACTTAAATGTCGAGTGTTTCAAGTGTGGTAAGTATGGTCACTATACGAAGGATTGCTACTCGGAAAAATGCTTTAATTGTGGTAAGGAGGGGCATTTTTGAGAGAGAATGTCAAAAGGTGGGTGAAACCTATCTTGCAGAGGAGACGGAAAAAGAAGAACTAATGCTCATGATGGTCGATCTACATTCGGCGAGACACTTGGGAGTTGATTACAGTGATGGAGTTCAATCTGATACAGATCACAAGTCGATATGATTTTTAGATAGGGGTGCAAGTAACAGCATATATGGAGATGAGCACCTATTTAGCAAATTGGAGAAATATGAGGGTGATCATGTTTCGTTTGGAGACGCTTCGAGAGTCTCGGTAAAAGGTCGAGACACAGTCCGTTATTTGCAAAAGGATGGTCTAGTCGGGTCAATCCAAGATGTGTTTTATGTTCCAGATCTAAAGAGTAATCTTTTGAGTATGGGACAATTGATGGAGAAGGGATACATGGTTTTCATGAAAGACCGAGTGCTTCAGTTGAGGGACAAGCTCGGTAGGCTGATTGCTTGAGTAGAGATGGGGAAGAATAGAATATATAAGTTGCAGTTGAGAAGCATTTGGGAGAGGAGCCTGAGATCAAATATAGAGGACAAATTGAAGGTAAATTTCCGATCTACTCACATGCATTTTTGTGGTTGAACTGAGTTGATTCTTGATGATAATCATGATATTGTCCGAGTTGGTGATGCAAGTGAAAGAGAACGAGTAGGGCAAGCTAATGTGTCACTAGATGTTATCAGATCGAGAGGAGAGAAGGAGGTCATGCGTGATGAAAAATGGCAAGTTAAAAAAGATCATAGAGCTCGAGTTGCTACACCACCAGTAGTAGCCAGTTCGAAAATCGAGGAGGAAGAAACAACAATAGCAGTGAAGTTGAGGATAAACATGAAGAGCATGGTGCTCGGATTGCCGAGTATGAAAGGGAGAGTTTGCAGAGGTGTGGTCGGAAAGCAGGCAAGGATCCCACTTCAGAAAAATGTCAAGTACAAAGAAAAATCCAAGTTAAATCTGAATAGTGGATTCCGAAGTGACTATATTCGAGCTCTTATTGACGAGAAGATCCAAGTTGATATTAAAAAGAAGATCTGAGCTGTTATGGATGAGAAATGTCGAGTTAGAGAACACGCTGATATGTTGGTGATGACCAAATCTATTGGTGTGAAGCAGGTATTCAAAAAGGATGAGAAACTTTTGTGGTGGTCTTTGACCGAGTTCTATCAGAAGAAAAGAGATAAAAATCTGCTAGGCAAGGTGGATGTCAAGTTTAAAATGACTGAATGTAATTTGGTATCAACTCCCATGGAACCAGGGACGAAAAGGTCAGACAATTACCGACTTGTAGGGTACTTGGACAGTGACTGGTGTGGAGATATAGATTATCGGGATAAAGGATGGTAGGAACTCGAGGTGCTTGGAAGAAAATGACAAGTCGGTTAGTAGGAAGTTCAAAAGTTTGTAGTCCGGGTTGTTTTGAAGGCCAAGAAGTTTTGAAGTACAGCAAATTAGTAATCGGGTGATCGGAATCAAGCCAATCTCATATTTTGAAGCTAGTTGGGAATTGGGAGGTCAGTAGCACGCTGTTCTCAAGTTTTCTTTAATGCAGAGAATTAATTTTACGGGAGAGTTTGTTAGATAAAATTAATAATAAGTTAATTAGAGTTTATTGGAACGTTTTGGAACTATTGAACGTTTAGTAAGTGATGTTATTGAGGACCATTATTATAGAACGTTTTGGATTCTAGGAATTAACATTTTGGTTTCTAGAGAGTTAATACTAGGAGTTTCTAGGAGTGTTTAAATATAGAGTTGTAATCCTGTTTTTAGTATAACAAAGAATAATAAAAGTGAAGTTTCTAAGTTTCTGAGTAATTGTTTGTTATCATCCAGAACAAAAATTTGAGGAACAGAATACGGGTAGAGTATTTGGCTGAGGGAAAGGAAGAACAGAAAATGTGGGTAACTGCATAACAAGGATCATGAGAAGAAAAAAGGGAAGAAAAGTAAACAAGCGAGAGATTTTTATTTCAAGTTAATTATAAAATTGCCATGCAGTCTTTTTTTTCTGTACTTGTGATGCATTTCAAAACAAAATATTCATAACATTGCAATTTAATTTGGAAGAAAAGGAAAGTGATGTAAACTTTTTATTTGTTAGAGGAATTTTAAACAATATTTGAATAACATGGTTAAATACTACGATTGTTGGATAATTTCTTAGTTTGTCATTAGCCTAGTGTTTATTTGGTAATCATTTTTGCCTAAACCTTTACAATCCTATTCCATTTACTTTTTCAACTAATACTGTTTTGGTGTTTTCTCACATCTACGTTGGTTTTCTAGGCACTCCCCATTATCCCAAAATCTCATTTTCCTTCACTGGATGCTACTCCATCAGTAAGTAATGTTCAATAGGTACAAGAAGGTTGAAGTTATTATTTTGTAACTTCTTTACTGAGTTTACACTATAATTTTAAGTCGATAATAAATCCTTTCTCCAGGAGGAAAATTCCTTTTATGAAGGTTCTTGTTATAGATGTTAGTGGTGTTATGATGAAAACAAGTATATTCATTATTGTTTTAAAGTTAAGAAATAGCATGCACGTGTGCTGATATCTCTACTTAATCAGTGAAATGACTTGTTTAAGTCTTAATCCTAAACCCTAAGGTATTGACTGTGAAAAGTAAGGGGAATTTTCTTTTGAAATGATTGGGAACCTTGTGGTACTTTATAATCTGCATCAAGCTTGAAAACTCTGCTAAATTTGTTACTCCGTAAAGGGCTATAGTAAGACAATGGTCCTGTTCATTTACAAATATGAATTTGTACCATCCCTGTCTTGACACCTAGTTGGTTTTTGATAGGTTTTCTCTCTGTAGTTTTTGTTAAAGGTGTGGGTCCTGATTGATTTATTTCATTTTTGACAAACGTGTAGCAGTGTTCTTATTTACCTAGCCTGATTGGCCATGATACAGGTGGTAGCTGCAATGTGTTCAAAAGTTCCCTTCATTAGCAATGCAATGATGAAGGCTACTGGCCGCAGTATGTAGTTCAATACTTGTACATTTATCTGAACTCTGCCAAATTTTGTTCTCTTATATGACAGATTTAAAAAATTCAATTGGATACCCTTGTGGTAGATATTGTATAGTTGGTTACCTTGCTAATGATAATGTGGTTCTATGAATCTTTAGTACTCATTTTCAATGGATATCAAACTTTTGTTATTGTTGTTTGTTTCGAGAAAATTATAATTACTCGCTTTTCATATCAGATCAGTTGATCATCTACTATTGATACTTCCATATAACATTATATCTCACGCCATGTAGTTTTATAGGATGTTTTGAATTCCTGCAGGTGCATTCAACCTGTTGGTCAACAATGGGCCAGCTGCTGGCCAAGTAATATATCATGTAAGATTTTAGATCTTCAATGATGTCACTTGCACTTTTATGGAATCATACATTTACTTGGGTCTCTACACTTTGCAAGTTTTTAAATTTGGCTTATTTTTCTGTAAAACGTTCTTTTCAGACACATATTCACATAATTCCCCGCAAAGCATACGATTGTTTATGGGCTTCTGAGGTAATATTTCATTTCCTTTTCGAAGTGTGAAACGATATGCATATATGGTATAACTATGTTTTGGGAGTACTAATCAACAGTAAAATTCCTTGTTTATAGAGTTTGCTAAGACGACGCTTTAATGTAGATGATGAGAAAGTTTCTCAGCTTGCAGCTCGTATTCAGAAGCAGTTATTACCATCTGACACGTGCCAGTAAAGTAAGAATGAAATTTTTTGCTCAAGTTAGTTGAATTATTCATTTGTTGCAACATAAAAGTTTGTATTTTCATTTAGCCTGTTTGTGTCTATGAATTTACTGTGAGGGAGTGAAATTGTGTAGAAATAGGTGTGTTTGTATCTGTTGATTTTGTATGATTTGTGAAGAAATGTGTGTGGGATCCATGCACAGTAATTGACCTCTTATGTTGCGAAGAAAAGAGGTGAATTGTGCATGATAAAGGTGAGAATGTCTATATTACCCTCCCTCAACTGCTTTATTCGTTTGTCTTTCATGCAACATTGCAGATATTTCCTTCCACCACTGCATATGCAAAACTCTGTAATAAACATTAATTATGCAGCTACCACTGCATCTGCTAAACACCATTGCAGAAAAATTGTCTAGTTACCTCTGCCCAAGACAGTATTGAACAGTAATTATAGTCTGATTTTCAAACTATTCCTTGCCATGCGTGTTGAATGTTGTCATGACTCTATTGAGCCTTTCAAAAAACCCGTGAACGGTTTTCCAGTTATAAATACACCAATTGGCAGGGCTTCTTGTGCATTCACAAGTAATTGTATAAGGAGATATTGCTTGTGATCATTTTAGTAAGTCACAGGATCAATTTTCTTGTACAATTGCTTATGATTTCATTGATTTAAGATGTCAAATTACATGTTGTGTTTGTTGTGTTTGTCTGCATAAGTTGAGAAGGTGTGTATTTCCTGTTGAACATTGTTGATTTGTTGTTTAAAGTTGTCATTGATATAGATTTAGGCCAACATAATCGATTATAATGCATTGTGTAATCGATTATGTTGGGGTTCATGATCGATTACGAGTGATGACATAATCTATTATATTTAACTATCTAATCGATTATGCTTGTCAACATAATCGATTATGTCCCTGTTCGTAATGGGTCATGAGAAAACTCATAATCGATTATGTGTCTATATATGTGGTTCCTGAGTGCACTGTACTTGAGCATTTCTGGTTGTTTGCAGCTTTAGATTTCCCCTTAATTCAGAGGTAATTGTACACTAGTCATGGAACATAAATTTAAAAATTTGATGGGTTAAATAATTAGGTATTACATTGGAGATATTGGTACCAAATAAATTGGAGGCTCCAAATTTTGACATGAATAATGGGTAAGCAAATGAGGGGACTATCTCGGTGTATAATATAGCCAATCCAGTGTGTGATGTGAGTTTCTAATTTTAGGAAATTAATTATAGCGATAATTAGAAGGATAGATGATTGTGAATTTTAAGACATAATGTGACGTACATTAGAAGTTAATTGGCCAAATTATAAATAAATAATTATAAAGAAATTATTGTCGTTTTTTTATAGGTATTGAATTTGGGTTAAGATATTATGTATTGGATTATAAAGGACATCATTCCATAGATGACATTAGCATTTTTAGTTAATTAAAGACTTGTTTAGCAAATGATGATAAACTTAATTTTTAGAGAATTAATTTGTTATAAGTAATGAATTAATAAAAATTATATAATTATTTGAAGGTAATTAATTATAACCATGAATGTTTATTTTTTTTCATTTTACGTTCATTACTACCGTGGTCTAATAAAGTGGGAAAAAGAGGCAAGTTAGGAGGAGGGATTGATGCAAGTTCTTGTGCCGCCTTTTTCTCCTTACTTTGTAACCCATGTTTTTGTCTTGATGATAAAGACATAATTCAAACCTGTTCAAAAATTAATATTAAAACATTGATGATAGGATAGGTAAATAGTACAGACAAAGGTAATAGACTGACTTCAATTATTTTGTTATGGGTGGATTTGAATTCCCACGTCATTTTTTTTTTAGGGGTTGGATAGATTTCTAATCTCAATTGGTATTATTTATGAAGACCTCATAAAGGTCTTTTACATAAATTTAAAATTGATTGAGTTAGACAACCTAGTCAGTGAGGTCTTACATACGCAGATCAGGATGAAACCTGAAGATTAGCTAAATATGGCCTATCTAAAATATCATGTCAGCAGATTTATGTTACTGACATCCCTGATGATCTGGGATATGATAGGGATGAGGCACTGACGGTGATGGTTAGACCGAAACTACAAGTTCAAACTTGTAGGAATGTCGGTAGTTTGACTGTGGAGGACAAACTTCTCGATTATGTCTTTGTTCATATGCTTAGTTCTCAAGGAGACAAATATGCTCAAGTGTTACAAAATGATATATTTATGATCTGGTGCATAAAAAATCACATCCCGATTAATTGACCTTATTATATCATTAAACATATGAGGAAATATAAGACTAATCGTATGCCTTTGTCTTATGGTATTCTCCTCACTCGTATTCTACTGCACTGTGGCTTGAATTTGATTTTACAGTTAAGTCACTCCATCAGATAGATAAATAGATTTAACGAGACATCTTTGAAAAGTTAAATATTGTAAATGTTGATAGGATATGACAACATGACAGGGTCACCATGCCTAGCAACCAGACCTTGACCAAGAACACTCCTCTAGTGAAGATGAAGATATACAACATGAACATGAACAAGCATCATCACCTACTGAAGGAGAACCACTATATCTTCCTCAACAAACTGATACCATAAACTTAATATGGGGAGATATTCAGGATATGCAAATACGTATGGGTAGACTTGAAGTGAATACCTAAAATAATTATCAGAGTTTACAAAGAGAGATTAATTATATGCACTAATAAAGTTGAGGATGCAATTAATCATATTCGTGAGAGTCTTGAGTAGACGTCTCATTTATGTTATTTCTATTTTCTTTGTATTTATTTTTTTATTTAAGTTTTTTTTTATGATTGTACTCTTTTTTCTCATTTGGATAATTGTACCTTTTTGTATTTTGAATGACTAATTTTCTTCAACATTTGAAAGACGGTCCTTTATTTAAATTTCTTCAACATACTTTATTTAAATTTGGATAAAAGTACCTTAAATTATTTTTTTGGATGATTGTAATGATTTGGATAATTGTATGTTTTTATAACTATAATTTTATTAATTATTAACGTAGTAACAGAAATATTAAAAAATTTAATTTATTATTATTATCAACTTTTTTTATCCATAATTTTTATAATTAATTTGTATTACTAAATAAAGAAATTATAGGAGTATAAAAATTAAATAAATAGTTTATTTTAACAATAAATTTACTTAACAAATAAGTTAAAAATAAATATTAATAATAAACTTTCAAATAGTGAATACATTCTTTAATAATGGTTATAATTTATTGAAATAACTTCATTTGATATTTAATGAATTTCACTTATGTATTATTTTAAAAAAAGAATAATAAGTAACAAACAATACATAAAAATGTTTTCAAGATAAAAAAAAGGTTTTTAAAAGTGTTATGGAATAAATGAGATGATCCTTCTTTCTTTTTCACCCTCTTTTTATCTTTTTTCTTCATTAACCATTTAGTTTGTTTTTATTGTTTCCCGCATTATCGGTTCCGATATCGCCTCATTCTAACCACCCAGGTAAGCTCGGACCCATTAGGTAATGGTTAGCTCAGTCTTTCTTTATGGACCTTTTTGACCCACTACTAATACTTAGATTTGGGCTTCATCGGGCCCAAACTCTATTTACGCACCACAACTCCCTAGTCTTGCATTTAGAAAAATATTCTAATGCAAAGACTAAAATCGAAATGAATGTACCACCTATCTTTCCTCTAAAGAATAATTGGTCTCGACTGTAATTGGATGTATCCCGAAGTATTGAATATTGAATATATATATCGTGACCTTTGCCTTCTTGACCAAGCCTCAAGCATTTCCCATGTTATTTCACTCGGTCCCAAATTTCAAACGTTTCATCTTCCAACAAGCAAATGTCATATCATCTGATATATTACCCTACACTTTAAATTCCGCGCCTACGCTTTTTACTTCGCTTTTCTATTCGCTGTATTTTTGTTCTTCCAAGACGCTTCATTTTCCTCTTCCCTTCGTCTCTTCGCTTCGCGCAACTTTCAACCTTTTAGACTTCCGTTCACCTTCTAAATCTACTCCGGACCTTTTAGGTATCGCTTCCCACTTCTCTCTTTGTTCTGTCTCTTGATATTGCATAATACTTTTGTTCGTCATTCGTCTTCATTTTCTGCGTTCCTATTTCTGTGTTGTGATTGTTGAATCTGTTGTTCTAAACCTTTATCGTTTTACCCATACTATTAATGTCACATTCTTCTTCCCCTCCCCCTAGCACGAGCTCTAGTAGCTTGGGTAATAAATCCTTGTACCCTTGGGCCAAATCTGATATCCTAAATGAGTTTACCATTTACTCTAGCAACAAGAAACTCAAACTATTTAGAAATATTCAAGGTTTAAGTCGTTTTTGCGAAGAAAGTAGTATTCTGGTAGAAGTCTGTGAGGTTAATGAACCTATCTGTAGAAACCAAGAATTAGACACAAATCCTTTCTTTTTTATGTATGATACCCTTTTTATTAAGTTAGGAGTTCGCTTACCCTTTGATGACTTTAGCAAATCAGTCCTGACTACTCTTAATGTGGCCCCGACCCAACTCCATCCTAATAGCTGGGCTTTTATCCGAGGATTTTTCATCCTATGTAAACATTTCGGTTTTGAACCGAATATCTCTATGTTCCTATACTTCTTCGAATTTCATTTTTCTAAACGGACCTCTTGGGCATCCATTAGTAGTGTAGGGGGTCGAGCACTTCTATCTTTGTTCCAATCATCATACAAATACTTTAAAGGTAGATTTATAAAAATTCGAGCTCCCGAAACTCAGAAAACCCTACTAGAGGGATTTCCCCTATATTGAACTGACCAACCCTGTGGCCAAATACCTCTTGCTTTGGACGAGCTCTCCCCCGAAGATGCCAAAAATTGCACATTACTCGATGAGTTACAAACAATTTTCGATACCGCCTAACTTCTTAAATTAGAAGGCAGACCAATAGACTTAAGACTTTTTATAGGTAAAAAT